GTAGCTAGAATTTATGGCATACTGGCCGCCGAAATCAGAGACATTAATTGTGTTACTAAATGGTACTTGATCAGGAAACATCCTCTTAAAATTTCAGCCTCCCAGCTTTTCTGATTCTCGACTTAACGATTTTCTCGTCAAAAATTTTCATGGGGCCGTAAGTGAGAACCAAGCATACTTGAGGGCTGAATTTGAAATCTTTGAGTTATGTGTGGACGGGGAACATAATCTTAGAATTTCAGTCTTCTAGCTTTTGTGGTTCCCCAGCTAACTATTTTCTCGCCAGAATTTTTACACACTTGTTTGCCAGGTCCTCTTTCACGCGTGAAGGCTGGTACAGCAGTCCTGGAATGGCACTTAGCCTGGGAATCCGTTGGCAAAATTTGGCGCCGGAGTTTGTTTTGTTAAGTTAAAATACACGGACGGACACACACACACACATACACACATACACATACACACATACACACACAAACTGTGGTCGTCACAAAATGCGTTGTTGCCTTTGCATATATATGCAGAAACGCATAAAAAAGAGTAAAGTTGAAGATAGTAGCGGTGTAAATGATGCTTGAATTGTCTTTTAATATCCGTAATAGTCAGCCATCTTCTAAATGACAGTGCAACCACGTTAGCAAGTAAATTCGATGAGCAGGGCATGTTTTTTGCCTTGCTGGCAGCCGCTGTATGATACATATTAGTTAGTGAGTGCTATCGGTGAAAGTGGTGGCACGCAGACATAAGATAGGCTATAGTTGCTGGCTGGCTCTGGACTGAAGAAACCTGACATAGCTGCTATCGGTGCTTGAGAATATCTCAGTAAAATAACTAAAATGCAGTCTTCTTATCGGTTCTCTGTGTAGTTTTGGTGATTGTTATCATTGTTTCTGTTAATGCTAATCACGAATTACGAAACCAAATTGAATAATTTTCGAAATGGTCTTTAGGTTGGTGATCAGTTGGCACAGATGGGCGCTGCTACTGCGCAAGTTGTGCAAATGACAGCAGTTGTCGACGAAGTAGATTCGAAAGTTGGTACAGCAATTGCAACTATTGGTTCGAATATGCCCGAAATGGGAAGAGGAGTGCGTGAACTGGCCGCACTGATGCCTGATGAGCAACGTCGTGGTATGGCTTTTCCGGGGGTTTATTTTTTCGAATCAGGCGCATCGGGAAACGTAATTTCCATTTATTTCGAGTGCTGTGAAAAAAGGCGAAGTTTCATACTATACTCCAGGCTCGGATTTTTTTTAAATCGCGGCCCTTCTTGAATGTTTGCAGTTTTCGAAGTTTTTCATCTTCTGTATGACGTATCTGCAAATTTCACGTCTTGAATTTTCTTCCTTTCCACTTTTTATGCATTCTATATTGCAACAGTTGCACAAAATATTATTGCCGAAACCCTGTCTCTGTGTGAGTTCTTGTACGTATATGTGTTCCGAGTGCGTTTTGTCCGGAATTTTTAACTTGGAAATCTGAAAAGCTAGGAAGCCGGACATCTGAGGAACTTACCCGCGTATGATCTTGATAGTTTTGGCGCCCATATTAACAAACTGAGAACTGTGAAAGCTAGGAAGCTGAAATCGTGGGAAAATGTTGCTGCTCGCATATGATTCCACAAATTTAAAACCCAGGCTGGAACGCACCAGGCGAGCCGGTGCGATCATGCGTTTTTGCATCAAACTTTG